CCAATTTCTGAATGATTCGTATTTAGGTTGTAGATAATCAGTGATTAAAGTGTCTTATCTATTTTTTAGCATTTTTTTAAATTAGTCATTAAAATTAAAATTAGCTTACGATTGCAAAGATAAGTTTTCTACCCTATTTGGGTGTAATAAATTATTACTTGATAGATTTATTTTATCTATCCTATGGTTGATTGATATATTTTTATCAGAATCATTTTGAGATATTTTTTATGAGGGATAATATATTCGAAGAAAAGTGAAGATCTTCTCGTATTAAATCTTATTACTACATCACTATTAGTATCTTGACTTACTTGTTCAACATCCTGATTAATTACAGGATGAGAATTTATAGCAGTTTGTAACTACCATGACTAGGAGAAGCTTACTTCATCCCATTTATAATCTTATTTGTAGTTATATTTGAAGCTAACAAATTTGTTTCTAAGATTGTAGATATATCTCTTGGTTTCATGTTATTTTTAATATTTGGACATAAAGTGTTCATTACCTTAAAATGAATTATGTAAATTATAGCGATTCTTTCAAATCCAGGTAAAAATTCATACCCATGTAGTTTTATTTGTATTTTAGTTGTTTCGAAAAGATTTATGTATGTTTGTAATAGACTTAGATTTGGGAAAGTGTTAAAGAAAACTGACCCATGACATTAACTAGTTTTCATAACTCTCATTAATGATTGTGCTCAATTTAGACATCTTGCATTTCTTAAGAAGACTAAAATTGAAGTGTTTAGCCCTCTTAGTGTCAGTGGTTTAAATGTTACTTGAATCAAGTCTGTGGATATATTTATAATTTTCTAAGTAAATATTTATAATTTTCTAAGTAATTATATTTATAATTTTCTAAGTAATTATTTAAATCTTCTTGATTTAATAGAGAAATTATTTTCTCACTTTCTTCTATTGTTAAAGAATGTTCAACAGTTTTAATTGATGATTTTCCTTCAACAAAGGTTCCAATTTTATAGATTAGAGACTTTTCCATCTTAGGAATAGTCATTTAGTTAAGTTTTCTTCAATTGCAGGATATTCTAGCAATTCTGCATTTTTAATATTATTATTTCTAGATTGAGATCTTTGTAAATTTTTAGACATTATGGTAATATTGTACCTTGAAAAAGTACTCATGGAAGGCATCCGATAAACATTTAGAACTTTTTTTCATTAAATAAGTTTAATAGGGTAATCTAACAACAACTAGATGAAAATAATAGTGCTCCACTAAGGGTTTAGTCCAAACGAGTCGAGTCAACAAGAACTAGGCAACAAAACGTCCATCCCGGACATAAAAACACCCACATGCGATGATGGCTACTGGATTAAGTTTAGCTTAAAGCAATAATATGATCAGACTAGAAGGTCGAACTCAGTATAATCTTGCATGTCAGTCAAGGATATTGAGTTGCAAAGCAACACCCGACTTTACTATGCAGGATAAACCTATCCTGACAGAGTTAGGTTACCATATTAAAATTATTTATAGAAAAAGAGTTCCATAAAAGATTTAGTCATGACTCTAATACCATTTCTAAACCAGGATATAACTAAAATTGAAATATATTAAAACAGGAAAAACCAAGCTTGGTGCTCTGTAAGTTTTTCCTGTTTTAATATATTTCAATTTTAGTTATATCCTGGTTTCAAATATATATATATATATGTGTGTGTGTATGTGTGTGTTGTGTGTGTGTGTGTGTGTGTGTGTGTGTGTGTGTGTGTGTGTGTTGAATAAAAAATTTAAGCTACATTACATAAAGTAAATTTAATACTTAAATAATAAAAAGTTAATAGTTTATTAAAATAATAAATTAATTAAATTTTATGTCATGTTTACTTTAGGCTTTCAACTTTTTTAGAATACTCGACGTCAAGAAACAAATTAATCGGCATTAAGGTGAGCACTCCTATTTTTAAATTATGATATCATTTTGGTATCTCTTCTAATTCTCATTTATGGGTTGTTATTTATGTTTGATTAAAGCAATGGATTTTTTTATTATTAAATTTTATTGTCATTTCAATGTGAATACTTATAATCTTATGTTATGAAATATTTAATGTATTATAGTATTACAAGTTGAGTTATGAAATTATGAATGATATGATTTTCATAGATTGATTGTATGTGCATCACTGACTATGATAAAGTCGTCTCTCAATGACACTAGTAGAGAAACATTAAGATACCGTGTATGTATGTATGTATCGTACGTACGTACGTACGTACGTGTATGTATGTATGTATGTATGTATGTATGTGGATCTGTATATGGATGTATATATATATATCTATATATGAAGTGTGTGTGTGTGTGTGTGTGTGTATAAATATATATATATATATATATGGATGTATGTGTGATATATATATATATGACTATTAAGTAAAAGAAAGCTTCAATAATATTCTCCAATTGAAGAAAAAACATCCAATTTCACTTTCCAAGTTATGTCTTCATTAATATCATAAGTTGTCATCTATGATTGCTTGCTATAACATCTATCTAGGTTGTTCTTTCATAGTGAGTTTTGGCTCCTAACAGTGCTGTGAATGGGTTTTTTATTCAGGCTAGATTCATTATCCAAAGTGAGGGCTTAGTTCATCAATTTCCAATATGCCAGGTCATTGTTTAATTTGTCTTATTGTTCTGCAAGTATTTTTTTTAGTTGATTTTTGCAATAGTTAAAACAACATCCTTATGGCAACCCATAAACTAAATTTAATAATTCAACCCCACTTGTGAGTTAAATGTTGACAAAACATAGCCACTCCTACCAATTGGACGTAAAACAAATTAGAGTTCACTGATACAACCTCAACCATTTAGTTGGTCAAGTGACATTATTAAGAAGATTAATGACTATTTTAAAAAAACTTTTAACAAATGGCCTGGGATTTTTAAGCAAGCCATATGTATCGAATTGGTTTAAAAAAAAAATTGTGAGAGAAAGAATAATGTGGGTAGATAGGTTCATGTTGCAGTAAGATTTTAATATAAAAAATTCCTACACAACGCATACTACATAATACTTATGAATATTATAAAGTATAATACTTACATAAACATTAAGACTAATTTTTCATCTATAGCACTAAAAAATCTTGTTCAATAGGATGGGAATGAGCAGTTTTTAGAACTTCATTTCTTTCTTTAACTAATAACTTAATATAATATGGTTTATATAGCAACTCAATTAACTATTTTTACAAATTTCAAATCAAATCCCTTTGTTACGAAGCTAACTAACCTTTGATATTAAGCCAACTATTAGTTGACATTATGATGCACCCTTATGCTATCATATCTAACCTTATGAAATAATATCAAATCTAATATATAATATCTTAGGGTTTTTAATCAAGATCTACATACTTCTTACTAGAAACATCTAGAAATCAACTCAAATGAAATATCAATGATCTTCTAGAAGAAATATAGAGAACTTCAGTATCAAAATAGCTACACAATGCTTTAAAAATTTGGCATTTTTTTCCGAAATCAAATTGCATCAAATTACTGCACCATCAAACCATTGACAAAATGTAGAGTAAGAAAATTAATAGTCAGAAAAATATTCACTAAAATCAAGCATCATGAACAAGGAAATAGTTGCTCAAAAAAATCTTCAAGTCCCTCACCTTATCAAAGAATTAACAACCAAAACTAGTATAAGTAGCACATGCAACAATAATTTTATTCATGGCTACATTGATTCAGCTTTATCATGCTTCAAACACCCACTTATTCATAAAAACAAAGGTTCCTTAGAAATCCTATACAATCAGAACAAAAAAAAGAGAACATTTTGGGTTTAGAACAAAACAAAAGATCCCTCCAGAACGATCACAGACTTAACAGAGAAACCAAAACGCAATAGGGAAAAGAAAAACACCAAGTATCATGAATAAGGAAATAGTTGCTCGCCAAAAATCTTCAAGTCTCTCACTTTATCAAAGAACTAATTACCCATACTAGAAGTAGCACATCCAACAAGAAATTTAATCATGAGCTAAATTGATTAAGCTTTATCATGCTTCAAACACTTATTCATAATCACAAAGTTCCCTTTGGAATCTTATACAATCAAAACTAAGAAAAAAAACAAGAAGAAGAACAACATGTCTTTATCCCACTAAGTGGGGTCGGCTACATGAACCTTTTTTCTCAATTGCATTCTATTGAGTATCATATTTTGGGGTTAGATCAAAACCAAAGAACCCTCCAGAACGATCACAGACTTGATAGGGAAAGCACAACCCAATAGGGAAATGAAGAGCAACAAGCACACATAAAGAACATATAGAAAGGTTGTTGACCCCAATACTGCCATAAGTAAAGATGCAAATATCACAATAAAAAGTAATATAAGCTTACTGAAAAACAACTAACGTCAAATAATCAAAGTTATAGTAGACCAACTACACCAAAAAACAAGGAAGTTGCAGCATAACTCCAGCACCAGAAAGTAAAGAAGTCATCAACAGAACCAAAAACCGCAAAAGTCACAAACTCAAGCAGACATGAAATCCAAGAAACATCAAAAGGCCGCATGGAATAAAGGACATCGTACAAATCTAAGGCGATATCCTAGACAAGTCCATACAAACCCGTAATACAATTAAAACAATTAATTCAAAAAGAAAAATAACAAAAAAAAGAAAGAAAATGAAATAAAAATTTCAACTTTCAAGCTATTAATCATAATGCACATAGATTGCATTTTCAAAAATAGAATTTGAGATTTACATGAATTATCAAATAAGGAATGATATAAGGGTAGACATTTATCATAATAATCCACATTCAAACAGAGGTTTCCTTTAGATGATGATGAATAACAAGGATAACTTATACCATATATGTTCTAATAGGTTCATAAGAATTTTACTAATTAGCAAATCTATATAACTTAAAACGAAGAATAACAAAAATAAGCAGGTAGATTAATCATTATAAAAAAAAGTTTAAAAAGAACCTGAAATGGAATCCAATGCCAACAAATCATAATCTGAAACGACTCCAATCTGCAGAAAGTAAAATGAAAATAAAATTTTCTATAAATGATTCAATTTTTTGTCATAAAACTAAAAATGTAAAACAAAATCTCGAAAACGTGATCAAGGCAAAGGCAGACAAGTTATAAAACTTGAACCAAATACAAAATTCATACATGTAGTAGCAAGACTTCAACCTTTATCTTAAGAAAAGTAAAACCTAAAGAGAAATGCTAAATATAGTTACAATTGTGCTAATATTCGCAATCGCCATAACCCTACCAAAAATGAAACTAAAATTCCATAGATGATGCAAAATAATATATTTAGCTGATGCATCAAAAAATAGAAATAGGATTTCAATGTCTCTAGGACCACTTTTTATACAGCTCAGGGTCTTCTCCATGTCAATGCAAATAATTACATGCAAACTGCTAGGATATGCAAATACGTCATGTCATATATTGGCGACCAAATCATATTTGGCATTTGCAATTAATAAATAAAAATTAAAAATTACCATGAATAATTGCTACTAAACATTTTCAATGTTCCCACGTGTTCTGAAAAAACTGTGTATAGTGTATGAGTGTGCAATATGGTTTCTTTAGTAGTTGGATACTTTCATTGGTGTACAAGCAATGTTAGATGGGTGGATCAGTATATGTGTGGACATAATATTCTCCATCATCAGAGTCACATTCTAAAGTTAAAAGACATAAATCATTTTATGAATCACATTCTAAAGTTAAAATACATAAAACATTTTATCTGAATCAAATAAAGTACTGTTTGAGAATACCAAGTCCAAGGTTCAAAGCCACCATAATAAAGCACATCAGACTTAATCTCAAACGATGAATAGAATTATATAAGAAAATAACTAAATATTGTTCTTCAAATAAATCATAAATCAAGTTGAACCCGCAAGTGTAAGCAATACTAAACTTACATGAGTAAAAATACAGATGCCCATTCATTTCACAGTCTGGAGGTTTAATAATGTTTCAAGTACCCATGGACAATTAAATTATATCAAGCACGCAAAACAACTGGGCTGTTTGGCAACTTACAGAATTTAACTCAAGTAAGATTTAATCAATCATGTAAATCCATATTAGTAAATTTAGTAAATCATATTGATTTTTAAATCCCATAAACTGATTGGCATGACAGATATTAAATTCGGCTAAATCATGTGAAGCTATTTGGCAAAGTATTTCAATACTTCTATATTTTAGTTTAAATGCGACGCTTACTCAGATCAGTTGGTCAAGCATCTACTTGTCAGTTGTAAGTCCCCTCTGGTCTGGGGTTCGATTACCACCGAGTGTAGGGTGTGGTACTTGAATTCTTAGGAGCATGAGGGATGGTCAGGGCTCATACAATAGCCTCCATATATATATACATTTTAGTTTAAATATAAGTTTAATATCAAGTGTTGATGATGCAATTATCAAGATTAGTTTAACTAAATTTAATTTTTTATAATTTTAATTATATTAATCCTGAATTAATAAGTTACTAAGCTAATAAATCATTAAACATAATTTATTTAAACTAAATACTCATTAATAAAAAATTTACTATTAATTAATAAGTAAAAAATAAAATCTCAATTCATAATTCATTAATAATTTATTAAGAAAATTAAATAAGAAATTCTATTTAGTCAATTTAAAAAAAATAATATTAATTTATTTAAGTTAGATTTTTAAATTCACTAATATTAAATAGTGATTTAATTTTTTATCAATTCTGATTTCATTAATCAAATTATAAAAGCATATATAAAATTTTAATTAATCATTAAGTAAGAATTCATAAATCTAATTAAACATAAGAAAATCAAATTAAATTATAAACAATATTATTTAATTAAATTAATGTTTGCTAATTCATTAATACTAATCAGTATTTATTCAAAAATTTAAAATTAAAATTTTACCTATGCAAGCCTAAAAATCCAACACCTCTTCTTCTCCTTTAGTCAACCCCTCTTGACATTAAAAAATTAAAAATGGTGATAAATCAAGAGTAAGGCTAGTTAATAAAGGCGTAATGGGATATTGGCAACTGAGACCCTTCTTGTCCCCTTATTATCTTCCCCTTCTACATCTAGTTAAATCCCTAGAAGAAAGAGAACCAAAGAGATAATCTTAGGATCGTCCAGGCAAAGTAGCAATAGTAACCAATCTTTCTCTCCACTTCATATGCTATTTTTCTCTAAATCACTTCGACTCGTGGTTTTAGTTATGCGAGGATTTACAATGGGAAAAAAAATAAATGAGATTTAAAGTTACTGTGGATTTATCATTCAATGTGACTGGCTGGTAGGATTTATGATAAAGCCTACAACCAAATGGCCTCTACAAGTGATAGTATGCAAATGAACATCTGTGACCCTCCCAATTGTAGTAACATAACGGATCTACTCATTCAAAAATAGCCAAAGAAAACAGATATTTCCAAGTTTAATGCTGAAGACGTTTTAATATTAAAATATGAACGATAATGGATCTACTTTCATCACTTCCTATACAACAATAAATTAAAAACCCAAAAAAGAAAACTTAAAATTATCGTAATCAACAATGAGATATCTCTAAATCATGAGTCAAAATGCAATAATTTTTTTAAAATTCAACAACAAAAAATGCATGCAAAATTGTACTAAGAAAAATATTCAAGATGGCACTTGAACTTGAAAATGGTACTCACCTAAAAAGAATGACTATTTCAAGAGGAATTTCATCAGCTCAAATAATAAGTCAAATAGTTGGCCACTGATGAAAAAAAACGCCTCCATTTGGAGACATCTTGGCACATCATAAACAAATAATGAACACATATTTTACAAACTATTATACTCTAAATGAAGGAAAAATTTTATGTCTGGACTCCTAACGTAGCTCTACGTGCGGACTCCAATAATATGTCGTCACATGTGCTATATCGCGGAGCTTATTTTGGGGTTATTGAAGTAGAACCGCAGATGTTATTTTGGGGTTATTTTCAAGTTATTTTGGGGTTATTGAAGAGAAACATATACATTCCACTTCAATAACCCATAAATAATCTCGAAATAACCTTTGTGGTTCCACTTCAATAACCCTGAAATAACATGACAAAGATTATTTTGGGATTATTTCTGGGTTATTTCTAAGTTATGAAGTGAAATATATGAATTTCTCTTCAATAACCTTGAAATAACCCAGAAATAATCCCGAAATAACCTCCACGGTGTTAATTCGGGAAGGTTATTTCGGGGTTAATAAATGGAACAACGGATGTTATTTTGGTGTTATTTCGAGATTATTTGGGGGTTATTGTGGAGTCCGTAGTTCCAATTTAATATTTTTTAGGTGGACCCGATATAACACACATGGTGGTATATTACTAGGAGTCCGCATGTAGAGATAAGTCCGGAGTCTGGACAAAAAAATTTTCCATAAATGAAAGCTAAAATTTGCCATGTTTAATATAAAAGCTCAATAACCATGAGAAAATTGTAATTATTTGTCACATTTGACTATAGAAGTCTACCATAACGATGAACAAAGTGATATATATAAATATACATATGCAAATGTCCAAATCATGCCTGTGTGCTACGGTTTTAATGAATATCCATTTCCATGTAATTGTCATATCATTTTATGAGCTCAGAACACAGAGAAAATATTCAATAGGCTGTAAAATTGCCAGTTGAAACACGAATGAGATGTCAAGTGTGCATATTTTTATAGTAAACTAAACACAAATGATGCTTCTCTTCCAAAATAAAAAATTAGTGAAAAGATGGCTCTACTGTAGCCAGATAAGTCATACTTGGCAATTGTTGGAAAGGATTACCACACACGAGAAATACGATAATCCATTAAATGAAAGAAGAATATGTAGTCAAAGAGCTATATTCCAAAAAGGGGAAAAGGAAGAAAATAGCAGGTTTGGATATGCAGTTATGCACAATTCAAACACAGGACAGTCTACTGAGAATGGGAAGAACTAGAAAAAATCACTCCTCTGCCCATGCAGTTAAACCCACATCTCTAGTTCACCTAGAAACAATTGAGAAAAAAAGCATAAACAAGAAATTCAAAATAATAATAATAGTAATAATAATAATAATAATATGCAAGATTAGCAGATGCCCATATTTACCATACTTGTTCAAACAATTTAGAATTAGTCACATAAAACATCCTAATTCACAATGATAAACAAGAAAATTAACAAGACAAACGGGAATTCGCATCAACCATAATTAAGATGGTGAAGAAATGAATATGTATAAAAAATGATTACAATAGTCAGCCAATAAAGGAAAAGGAACAAAATATATGAATAGTAACTCCATGTTTAAGAATTTTAGGGTAAACATACCAATTTCCAATCATCATCAATCACAGGGAACCCAGTGATCCTATGCCTCGCTAGTTTTTCAAGTGCTGTTAACATCAAATTTTGGTTAAAACAGTAAGAAACTAGCACAACTAGCTAAAATCAAAAGGATAAAAATTATACAAAACTAACAAACCTTCATCAACTGAAGTAGAAGGCTTGACAACAACTAGATCTTCCTTCTTGGTCATAAAATCGGCAACAGAATAGACACCATTATTTGACTGTAGGACATTAGATTAATCACTTTAAATAAAATTACCAAAAATTCAATGTAAAAACAAAGATAATCAATACGAACATAGATCATGTCCTACAATAAGGAAAAAGGGTAACAATTGTTAGTGAAGCTGTTGTCTATGTTAATGATGCTAATGTTTGGTTACACCACATGTAATTTCACTATGTCCAGGAACATTCTCTCAAGTTAACCAGACTCCTACTTGAGATTAGCTTGAGTATATGAAATCATCATCAGCAGGCTCATTACAATTTGTTTTATTGTCGAGTCATGAAAAGATGTGTTTACAATATAAAAGCAGAATACATTTACCATACATTTTGAAGTTCATATATGAATACTCGAATCAGAAATGGCATCACATTGAAGCAGCCATGCTTCATAGGTCTGAAAATAAGTTCATTTGCTAATAAAACCATGAAAGAAATTCAACAAATGAATAACATTAAGTTGGTAAGTAGATCACTTGTGCACAACTAAAATTTGCAACGATGCATGTGTAAATTAAAAAAAAAAAAAAGATAACCAGAAGATTCAGATTTTTTTTTTATTTGTAAACCTAAAAACTAAAGAAATTAGCAATAAATCAATTACAACCACCAGGCAAACTAACTTACTGAAATTTCATCAAGAGTTCAACTCACAGAGACTCTACTTATATTATTACATAATTCACCACCATTCCAATTTCGAGCAGGTATTCCCCTTCTTTCTATTTACGATAAAGGTTAAACTCCTATTCCCGGAGACCTAATGGATTCCTGAACTAATTTATGTAAATGAAATAGTTAATGTCTATGCTCCACCATCAACTTCTAAAATTCTCTTCCCAACATTGTCATCAATCAAAATAATAAAAAAAAATGGCACTAACATGGAGCCTTAATCTGAATGAATTTTGATCCCATTCACCTCTTCCTCCTCCATTTTGAATATTGATAACTCATATTCCCAACCTAGTTGTGCTCCAGCACAGAAAATGCCCCTACACGGGTACACTAATATTGAAAATTGTACTTCTCAATATGTCTTACCCAGCTAAAAAAAAGTGAGATTTATTACTTTGCGCCCCAGGTTCCAAGACTTACTCCTGGGGAATACGAGAAACGTAGTACCTGCTCTGAATTCGAAACCAAAACTCCGTTTCTTGCCGAGGCGGATATTTTTCCAGGATTCGCCGGAGTTATGCCCTTGAACCGCCGACGGAGCAGCGGTACAGAAAGCGGCCTGACAGAGCGCACAGAAAAAACAAGGCTGGTCGCCGGATGAAGGGATGGAGATACAGGGCCGAGTTGATGGACGACAAGAGCTTCCGATATCAAAGAATCCATTGCCCCCAACCTCTGCTCCTCTCTCTTGGAGTTCCGGAAAGGAGAGTTAAAAGTTAGGATAAGCAGAGGTCTGATACGATTAACAAGCGGAATTTATAGTTAATAGTGAGTTTGGTTTAATTTAAGAGGCGGTGTCGGGTAGCACCATTTAATAAATTTAAAGTTGGTTGTGTTTTCAAAATGCCATGGTTTAAAATCTGTATTTTCTTATTATGATCTGATTAAAATAATTTATAATAATGATCATAATTTTTAAGTAATAAATTATCATTCAAAATTATTTTTTAATAAGCTGCGCCTATCCCAAACATATCATGAAACATGAATTTAATTTAAATCTAGCAAAACACATAAAAGTGAAATGAAATTTGGATTTTTGGCACTTCCCACCCGTCTTCCTGACAACCAGTTCCGTCTTCTCTACACCCATTCCATCTTTGTATCCGAAATTTGATAAATCCCCCCTAAGAGACCTATATGTCAGTGAGCTGCTGAGATAATAAAAAGAGAGATATCGCTTAAAATTACACTATAAAATTTTGATGTCTAACAACCCTATTTTATATATTATTTATAAAGCATCTTAATATTTTCAACTCTTCTTTTTTACCATTTTATAACCTTACTATTAATCACATCCTTCTCACATAAGCCTCCACTTTCTCCTTTCTGAAGGAAAAAATATTATCTCAGGACTTCGAATGGACAGTTGCCTGCGAAGTTCAATCAACGAAAGCCACGTGGATAGTTGGGCCCCACGAACGAATAGAGGGAAATTAAATGAAAACTCACGGAAGACCCGACCCAAAACACAGCCCAGCATCTATTAAACTTTAAAAAATTTTATTCTGATCGTGTGACCCTAGTTCGGTTTCAAGTTCGTCGTGTGTTTTCTTCCTCCTTGGCCAAACCTTAGTCCTTGGTGTGAGAATATCAATGATATAGCTGAGGTGTTATTGGTGTGTTATTGGTGTGTAATTGATTAGTTATTGCTTGGCGAAACCCAGAAATGATATAACTGATGTGTTATTGGTATGTTATTGCTTAGTTCATTGAATGAGAATATCAATGACAACCAAAACTTCTATTAAAGTGTTATTGTTGTGTTATGGAGGTGCTGCTTAAGTGTTATTGTTGTTTAGAGAGCAATAACATCTCAAAAGCACTGCACTGTTATTAATATGTTATTGGTGTGTTATTTATGTGTTATTGATGTGTTACTGATGTGTTATTGATTTGTTATTAATGTGTTATTGAGGTTAGAACACTACTGACACACAAATAACTTATGTTGGTTGTAAGGACAAAAGTCCAGGAGGTATTATTGAGGTGATATTGATGTTTAAACAATAATAATACATCAGAAGCACCTCCATAACACATGAATTACACATCACTTGATCTTTAAAATGCAGCTCCATATGTGGGTTAATGAGATGTTATTTAAATATACGGCTCCCTGCCCAACCCGATACACAAATGAGTAGCCATAGACCTTGTAAGTAATTTTCACATACTCTTGTAGTTTAAATGTTTTTTCTTTGTAATGTAGTGCAGTCATCTACTTGCAAACAACTCTAAACTAACTTATCAATGTATTATGCAGCCGAAACATTTCTCAAAGGATATTGCTCAGGCTTTCAGAAGCAACACAGATAAATGGCCAATTTCATTTACTCGAGGTTAACTAAATACTTGCAAGATGAAAGCAATATAAATAAAATATTTTTTGCCTTATCATGAATCAGTAATAAGTATAGGAATTATGTTGTGGAAGTATTCTAATTGTGTTGTGCCAAATATGAGCAATAATATTATTTATCCTTACTAGAGATGTTATAAAGAACATTGGCTAATCGATAGTTTGAATAGTCTTAAAGACGGGTTAGGAGGGGAAGATACTAGCTCTCACTCTAGAGTTCCCTCTTCTCCCTCCACCTGGGGGCTAACATCTCGTATCATAACCTAAAACTTTAATGCTTATTTCCCTATTTATTTGCACTCAACCCCATGAACTACATTCTCATCCATGAAATCAAATGTGATTCTTACCACTTGTTGATTGAGACAATACAATCTCAAATCTAACATGTTCTCACAACAGATATTAACATCTTAATTGGTCAAATCAAGAAGTAAATGAAGTACAAGGTCTAAAATCATGACAACTTCTTCCAACATTAAAGTCTAATACTTCACACAATTTTCTTTCAATACCTAATCACTTGTCCTTTTAAGGAAAAAGATAAAGAAAACTACTCAGATTTCATGCACTTTAAATTCATGGAGAAAACACAACCACACTTGATTTTAAAAGTAGAAATCATTCACACAAACAATAAGTCCAAATTAAAACTAAATGTAGTCACAAAGATAAACACTTATCTTCAATCCTCTCCACCAAATGTCTTGAAGTTCCTTTGAATTCTCTTCCTTCACTCACAATACAAACTAAAACTTAAAATAAGATAAAAAAGGTGGTCGGCGGCGGCGGAAATGGTCGGCGGTTACTTTGGATGGATGGATGATGATCGGTTGGCCTCTTCCTTTGATGATACAAGTCTTCTTTAATAAAAATCCAAGAGGTATCTTGATGTCACTTCAAAATGTGTCTCTATTTAATGAATCTTCTAGAAGTTGCATTCTTTCAAAAGCCAATTGAATGAATTTTCGTGTCCATGAACTATTTCTCACATTTTTATCAAGGGTTGCTTCAAAAACCTATTCAAAAATTCATTCAAATTCAATGAATCATCAAATACCTACTTCTGGTGCTTAGCTGTGGCTCCCTCTGTATAACTGTTGTGTAAGCGCCAGTCCTAGGCGCTTAGGCGCCTCTGTTCATTTTTACACCTTCTTCATTTTTGCTCCAAATTTGATACTTTTTCACTCCTTTTACCATTTTTCATCCATTTGATTGTACCTGAAAGAAAAACACACAAATATCTTTCATTAAAGCACAATGTCTCAAAAAAAGGTATAAAAATGTGTACAAAAAGCCTATATATTTTAGGTGTATCAAAATCTCCTAAACTTAAAATGTTACTTGTCCTTAAGTGACACTCCAATCCTTTAAAAACTAAATAAGTAGATTATGTATATGAGTTTCTTTAGGAGTTTCTAAAATTTTGATATAGAAATATAGTCATCCAATTTAAAAATATATATATTAGTAAATGAGATCAACTTAGAGTTTAGAAATTTTTAATGTAAAGAGGTCTAAAAATATGAGTTCCTATCTAGTTCAGAAATATTATAGATTTTCCAAATATAGAGTTTAGGCATTCTATCAACTCCACTTAAAAAATTTTTATCAAGCATAATTTTACTTATTATATTATATCCTTAAGCTTAAGAATTTCTCAAGTCATATACTTTAAAAATTTAATATGTGGAACCAATTTTTAATTAGACACTAATCCTCAAGCTTCTCCTCCCTTTTTCAAATTTTTTTCTTTTCTTTTTCTTTTCTCCTTTTCTTTTCCTTTTTTTTCAGGCTAAGATTACTATATCTGGATAGACATTTAATGATTTTGAATTTCACTCTTCCTTTCCTAAAGTAAAGAGTTGATATATTTCTTTTACTTAAAAACATAATAATAGTTTTTGAAATTTACTTTTAATAAAAGAAATTTAAGTTTTGAAAATAAAAGTCTATTTCTTCTACATTTTTCAAAAATACAATTTCTCCTATTAAAGATAGTTACACAATATTTATCATTTCCACACTAAAAATTTTTAACTTTAAGTTTTTCTTTATTACTATAAATTTTAACTAAATTCTCTTACTCATTTCTATATTCAAAATTTTTCCTTCCTAATATGACTTCATATACATGATCATTTTTCTTCAAATCAAAATCAAATTTATTTGAAATACATTTGAGAACAAATAAATTTCAAGTTTTTAGAAAATTTTTCATTCCTAACCCCCAACTTAAATTTTTAATAAAATAAAACATTTTAGCATTATATAAATAGGCAGGAATGAAAACTAAAGATAACATGCTAGCAGGAATTTTTACTTCCTAAATATACAAGTACAAAAATTAAAAACAGGAGTAAAAATTAAATTGATCAAATTTTAATTTACTTAACATATAGAGATTTGTTAGACTTCTATGTAGTAGAGAATAACATAAACGCAAACAAACACACTAACAAACATACACAAATGCAACATAAAGAAAAATATCTGGTAGTAAATTGAAAATTTTTAAAATAAAATTTTTAAGTAAAAGTTAGCAATATTCTAAATTTTCTTACGTTTCAGAATTAAGTTCAACACAGATTAACTAAATACATTAAACAACAAAATTAACACCATTACTACAACAAAAACACAATAACTACTCACAAAACATAAAGACATCACAACAGTGTCTAACAAAACAAAACACAAATAAAACTAACAGTCTCAACAAATACATCTCAAAACACAACAAAAGTACAATATAACTGCACCACAAACAGTTTAGAACAATACATAAAAAAAAACTAAACTAAATTATAGAACCAGTCTAATCATCCTCTTCCTCGTCATCACTCTCTTCACTATGCCAAATAGTTGCAGGCTCGTATGATGGATATCTTGGATATTGAGGGAAAACTAAACTCTGGTTACCTCTCATGAGGTTTTCCATAGATGAGTGGAATTCTTCCTCACTGTGTATCCTCATATATCTATCTATATGCTCTATAAATTTTTTTAAATTTAATGTCTTATCAGTAGCATAGTCAACATTGTCCAAAACCCTCTGCAATAGTTGTGATTGAGAATTAGATCCAGAAGTCTGACCCTGTGATATAAAAGCACGTAAAGTGAAAGCTCTAGATGTAGAAGCAGCTGAACTACTAGAAAATTGACCTCTCTAGCCAAAACTCGAATGATGTGAATAAGACTTTACATTCACACTAGTAATAGGCTTGAGTGGCTGCAATATATACTCCCAGCTATCAACTCTAACTCCAGCCTGCTCACATAATGAAAAAAGCAAGGATGTGAATCCCAAACCTGCAGTAGTAGCAGCAACGGCAGAACTGGTAATGACACTATAAATCAAAGCTCCAATGTCAA